GAGAAGGAGAAGGAGAAGGAGAAGGAGAAGGAGAAGGAGAAGGAGAGGGAGAAGATGGAGAAGGAGAAGGAGATGGAGAAGATGAAGATGGAGAAGGAGAAGGAGAAGGAGAAGATGGAGGAGAAGATGGAGGAGGAGGAGGAGGAGGAGGAGAAGAGAAGATGGAGGAGAAGGAGAAGAAAGAGATGAAGGAGGAGAAGGAAATGTTGGAAAAGGAGAAGTTGGAGGAGATGGAGAAGGAACAAAGGTTCAACTCACCTGATCGTTTGCCCGGTGGTAGTAACTGGCGTGAGCCCCACCATACCCCAAATTAAGGGTGGCTATCCATTTCAGAGCTAAAAGCAAGCAGAAATATGATTAAATATATTTCTAATCCACCCTATAGATGGTGTTCCCTGGGCAGATTGCAAATAATCAAAACATTAGAAACATTGAACCATAATAAAAACAAGAAATCCTTGTCTTAGTAAATTTTGGCTACAAAGGAGTGGTTTTTTAATTGGACTCTGTCCTGATAAGCAGACCCCAGACCAAAGTCCGTTAAATCAGTAGTTTGTCTGTAAAATCAAACCCCTCCTGTCATATGAGCACTACTGATTATCACTGTTGTAATGTTCCTTGGTTTTGAGGAGGTTATTATTTTTATTATCTTATTACTGGGTTGTGATCGATGGTTTCAATCTTGCTTACATACAGTAGGACTGTAAAACACTTCAGTTAGTGGCATATCAGCCAAGTAAAATATAATAAAATAAAAATCAATCAATCAATCGATCAATCGAGGTTTTCCTGCCAGCGATGCCTTTTACGTCAATTACATATTCACATGAATGTTGGAAATTGACACAGATGTGTCACAATGTCCAACAGACATTCAGATTTAATAGACTAGCGTTTCTCAACCTTATCCATTTTAAGTTGTGTGGACTTCAATTCCCAGAGGAATTCTGGGAGTTGAAGTCCACTCATCTTAAAGTGGATAAGGTTGAGAAACACTGTAACAGACAGTCCCTCCCATCCAAATTAAATGGAGGCATTACCAGAAAACTTTAGAAAAGAGATCATCGCAGTCCAGTGCAAACATTTCAGCTCAGAAGCAAAATAAGAAAAAATGATCCAACATTTGGACCATCGGCTTGATGAGTTTTTATCTATATAAAGTGCTCGGCTGGAACAGAAAGCCACGATGGGAACACAAGAAAAAAAACAAGGAATAAAGAAAAACGTGGATTGTGATAAACCTGTTCTGTTTTAACATAGCAGGAGACGCTCTTGATGTCTCATCAGCAATAGGATTTCTACCCACGTACCCCTGATTCTTTTTATATAGATACATATACGTGTGTGCGTTTGTGTGTGTATAATTAAATTCATTTTTAAAAGAATAGAAACAATACAAATGTTGAAATAGAAAAATAAGTAAAAAAAAAGTAAGATGTGAAGAAAAAAAGTGCACAGAAAGGAAGAGAGAAGAGAGAAAAAGAGAAGAAAAGAGAAGAAAAGAGAGGAAAATAAAAAGTTATAAAGCAACTTCTGATCTTAACAGTAGCCACAAGTACATTTCTATTCTACCCTCTCTAAGGTGACAACATCATTTCCTTCTTTTCGCAGTCCACCCTTTCTAATCATTAACCCCATCAATCTCAAGTTCATTTTTTTTTCAGCCAAAAAACCCTACGAGTTTTCCAGTCACTAATAAATTCTCTAATCAAACAAGTCCGTTCGGCCAGTTCTGTCCTCTGCACCAGCCATTCCTCCGTTCCAAACATCCCGGCTTCTTGATCTATCAATGACGTGGCCATCGATCCATCCAAAGTTCATCTCCACTCTTCAGCTGAACTTAAATATTTGATTTTGGATGAAGTCGTCATTTCGGAGTAGGGCAGACATCACGGCTCGTTCTTTTTCCCTCTCTCTTTCTTTTCCTGGTTTCCCATTCATCCTTCTCCCGAAAAGTCACGCACCTTTCCTTTGAAAACTGCCTTTGGAAAGAGGTGCGAGAAAATGTGTGTTTTGCCCTGAAATGTGCACTTAAATGGTTTAAGTTTTTTACTTGTAAGCTGCCTTCAGTCACGTATACAGTGAGATGGGCGGTGTATAAATTTGATTAATAAATAAAATAAATCAGTTTAGGCTCGTGGGCGTCTTCCCGTTCTTGTTACCGTTCTTTTTGAGAGTGGTGTAGCACATTTTTAGAGCGCATAAGGCTTACAAACCGGATATCCTTGGCTGTATCAACTGGAAAATCCAGAAACTGTCCTCTGATGGCCTCTGGACACCTCTGGATTGGGGACAATCCGATTCTCCCTCCAAAGCGTTATAAAAGGAACTCACCGGTGTATTTCCCAGCCAGAGTGACAATTGCACCTTCTTCTCCGGCCCGTCGGTGATACACCAATTCACCCCCTAGAACCAACCGTGAAGTCACGCTCTGGAGGAAGTGTGCAACGACGATGACTGTATGGAAGAAAACACGGCCAAGGATCCGTTAACGATGGTAGGGCTGGCCCCTTTGCCCAACGTGACCCCTACAGTCACCGTCCCCAGGTTGCAAACGGATGAACATCCATTCAGTTGTATCGTTTAGCACAGTGTTTCTCAAACTCAGTAACTTTAAGACGGGTGGACTTCAACTCCCAGAATTCCCCAGCCAGCCATGTTTAGCAGCATCAAGCAAGCAAATGGATGAACATCCATTCAGTTTTATTGTTTAGCACAGTGTTTCTCAAACTCAGTAACTTTAAGACGGGTGGACTTCAACTCCCAGAATTCCCCAGCCAGCCATGTTTAGCAGCATCAAGCAAGCAAATGGATGAACATCCATTCAGTTTTATTGTTTAGCACAGTGTTTCTCAAACTCAGTAACTTTAAGACGGGTGGACTTCAACTCCCAGAATTCCCCAGCCAGCCATGTTTAGCAGCATCAAGCAAGCAAATGGATGAACATCCATTCAGTTTTATTGTTTAGCACAGTGTTTCTCAAACTCAGTAACTTTAAGACGGGTGGACTTCAACTCCCAGAATTCCCCAGCCAG